GATAGATGTGTATGGAGGTGTTGCGGTACCACCGGACGACGATTTTACGAGGTATAGTAGGTATCCACAGTATGCACGGGCAACTCCACTGTTCCATAAAAAACCTTGGTTTTCTGATGTGGATTTTGAGGGCGAAGATGACAACAAGAAGAAGGTGGTTTGGCACGCGAAGATTTTCCTCCTATTCACATTGAGATGGACAGTGCTTAATGGCAACGACGAGGATGAGCAGTTTTCGGAGCACCTTGCATTTGGTCGTTACTACGAAGTCCAGCAGCAGTCAGAGACAATGGATATGAAGACTCTTACCTGGTGGCCATCTCACCGCGGTTATGGGGTATTTCCAGTTGAGAGTATACTGCGTGTGCGCCATGTTGTTCCCAAAACCGTTGATCCGTCGCATCCTCTCGCAAAGTTCATTTTGAAACATTTCAAGTGGTAGGGAGATTTGTTGTACATATGTGTATATATGTGCTCGGTATATTACATTATATTACAGTTGTACTTTTCCAAAGGTTGGGCTCTTGTATACATTCTTTGCCTCTGAATGAGGCAATAGTTGATGTTTTATATGGTAAAACTTTTGACCATTCACATCTATAATCTCATGGGTGCGCTTTTATTCCTGAGACGAGTCTGCACAGAAATAACACAATCGTGAAATCTGTAACAATTTCGGACGACTGTGGAAGCTGGGCCGCACTGCACGCGGGATCTGATTCTTTGAATCCCGTTTGCCACTACGCCGCACTGCATGCGTGATTGTGGAAGGATTACTGTTGAAACTTTAATGACCATGTTACTGTTGGCACGTGTTTTTCCAATCCGTTTGCGCCATATAGTTCAAATCTGTTCAAAGTTTAGGTGAGCACGGTCCGCAACCCACGTCTACTTTCGCTTCCAAACAATGCTGACTTCGGGTTTGGTTTACACCCTCTAGTTCCGCTTTGGTTTCGTGTCATACCCAGTTCTCCGTCAGATCTGCATCGTCTCAATTATGTGAATCCGAAATTTAATGCTACACAAGTGGCGAACCACGTCGACAATAAAACTGCTGCTGAGCTTGGACGGTTTCGTGTTCTGTTGCAGCTGTTTTACGGTGTCGGTGTTCTTGGTGCAGTACATCCAAACACAGTTCTAGCGCGCCGTGCCATGTTTTTGCCGTTGCTGTACCTCCACTAGCTGGCTGAACACCAACAAGGACGGTACCAAGAAAGAGGCACGTGTGGAAGATTCCAAAAGCCACAGCCAGCGCAACAGATCCCCGTCGAATGCCAGCCAGTCATAAGCTACTGCCGATGCTAGCGCAACTGATGCAGCGCAGCATGCCAGCACATCTGAACAGTGCGCCCTACCCTTGCTGTGAAGGGCGCGCCGCGCGTCGTCCACATACACGCTGCATAGCCACCCACATCCTTTCTTTTCTCGGACGCTACCCTCGCACGACCCAACCCAGGTGAGAAGTGCACCGCGCGTCCCACCAATCAACTTCGTCACACGCGGCAAGCCAACCACATCATTGGTACCCCGCACACCACCCCCTTCCCTTCTCTCTTCCACCCCCCCATTTCCTTTTCCCGTTGGCAGGGGTGAGGTTACATGCTGTGTAGTTGTTTCTTGTTTTAGAATTTCAAATTTTGAATTTCAAACTTCGATTCCTCCTCCTTACCATTTCTACCCTCGCCAAGACTCCCGCGTCGCATGCTGAGCCTCCACTCGCTGCGACCACTGTCGAAGGTTTGGTGGAGTGTCCAATCATGGTGCGTGCATCCTCAGTCGTTGTAGCACTCTCATTAGTGGCTTCTTCACCCAAACATTCTCTCCTTTATATTGTCACGTTTGCTTAGCATATAAATTTTGTAGCGGTGCGTCTTGCTGGCTATACGCTTCGTTTTACTGGCTCATCCCTAGAATCCATGGCGCATGGCAAATCTAAAAACCTTGTCCCTGATTCTTTGAAAATGCACCAGACTCGATCACCGCTTCCGCAGAAAAGCAAGGAACGGCATTTGTGCTATCCATCCCCCGCAGGAGGTAACTTTCGTTTTTTTATGTTGCACTAGCCTTCGTTACAGTTATGTCCATAACTATCTTTGTTTTTACTTTTTTTTTTTCTGTACGATGCAGGAACCAATACTGATAAAGAGACGGAGGAACCACCGGCTGGTCGTCACCCTACGAGCCAGCGTCAAAAAAACATTTCATCGGAGCCTCGAAGATGTCATCGCTGCTGCCGGCGCTGGAACGTCCGAGCCTTCGCCGACCACTGGTGTCGCTCTGTCCCAGCCCGCCAAGGCTACGGGCCAGCCCGCCAAGGCTCCGGGCCAGCCCGCCAAGGCTTCGGGCCAGCCTGACAATGCTCCTGCAGTCTCTGCCGACACTGCTGGTGGTCCCGAAGGCTCCGATGACGGTGGTCATCTCCCTGCTTTTATCGAAACTATCGATAATTGTGTCGCTGTCGTAGCGGACAAGGAGCCCGCCGCTGAAAAAGGTGATTCACACTTCTACTCACTTTTCTAAGCCTTGGATTCTGTTGCCTGCAACCATGACTAATGTTGCTGTTCCGTATTTGTTTTTGTCCACCAACAGGAAAGGCTGATGCCAGCCCGATGGAGTTGATAATGTCACGCGCTAAAGGTCGGGTGTACGCTACTAAGGCCGCAGCTTATGACGAGGAAGAGCGCGACGAACCCTTGGTGAACGACGAGCTGGTGGCCAAGGCGAGTACTCAAAAAGGCAATCGCGGATGCATATTGCAAGGAGAACGCGCGTAGGGCGGGGGAATTGAAGGACTGCCTCGTGCTTATCACGCACTTTGCTAAGAAGGCCTCGGAAGTTGACGCCGGCGCTCTCACCTGGGAGGTAAGTTGAATTATTATAGTTGCATTTCATTTCCTCCAGAAACGTCGGATTACTAAGTTCTTTTGTGTTGCACGCAGGTGTACACCAAGAAGTCTTGCGATGAGTTTCTGTTCAACCGAGAGATGCTCAATCTCTCTCCCGATTCTGATGACATGCTGAAGTCGCTCATGAGTAAGGGTTGCCCTCTGTTTTCTCTGTTGTTGCTGTCAGTCTATGGAAGCTGACTACATTTTTTTTGTATGCAGGGCATTTGGGCCACACGCCAGACTCACCTGAAGGCTTGAAAGTGGCTGCGATTGCGACGCCGCAAGGCAAGCTGAGGCATGCCTGTGTGCGTAAGATCTACCGACTTACCCGCATCCTCGCGTTGACTAACGAGCCCTGTGTCTTCATGGGTGAGAAGCGTAGCCTGAAGGGCCTGACTATTTACTACGAGCCCAAGGGTTTCCCTAGCAAGTGCGAAGTCTATGTCACCAGGAACGATTCCAGTAAGTAGGCTTCTTCACCGTTTTCCGTACCATCCGTAAACCTGTATCGGACCTTCTCATTGTCACACTGCAGAGTTTTTCGGATTACTCTGGCATGTCCTTAACGGAGTCCCGTTTTCTACCGACGGTTTTATTCAATGTGCTGCTCTGTGGGACTCTGAGTGGGACGGGTCCCTCCCGATTGCCTTGTTTCCTGAGCAGCTTATTGTGCTGCTTGCAGTGGTGAGTTCTCTAGTTTTACGGATGGTATTTTATCCTAATGTAATGCTTACAATTTTTGTGGTAACTGTCTCAGGTGCGTTCCAAATTGCGCAATCCCTGCTGCAACAAGGCCTAGTTCACGCGTTCCGGGGATCCTGGAGCTCTCGCCAGGCAGGCACGGGTGGTGCAGCGTTGGATCAACGCCAGCCAAGTTAAGCGCGAGGGAGAGTGCATTGGCATCGGGAAGCTATGCATCGTCGGTTGGACCGACAATTCTGAAGAGGAGCTCGCTGGGGATGAGCTTGGGGATCTGTCCCCTGATGATCTTGTCCCGACCAGCGCTCATCGCAGGGGTCATGATCCGAACCAGGTGCAGGTAGAACTGTTTTAGATCTAGGTAGTGTAGTTGTAGTTACTGTTGTTAGGTATAGTTGTAAGTGTAGTTACTATGTGGCTACGTGTTTTGTGTATACAGTGTCAAGTTAGTAAATATGTAATGTTGAGCAACGTTTGTTATGTTTCGAGTACTGTTAGTGCGGTGTAGTAGAGGTTATTAAATTTATTATATTTACCATTCGATTAGGCCCTACCGTTACATGCACAAGTGCCACCGTTACATGTGTCAGTAGATCTGCACTGTGGATGCCCGATTGATCCTGGAGAGGGTTACAGGCGCGTTTGCCTGGGGGGTTATGGGCGCACTGACCCGCTACTAAAACAAGCCCTTTTATCCCAATGGTCTAGTGGTTGGGATTCTGACATGGTATCAGAGCGGTCTCGGGTTCGATTCCCGGTGTATGCACATGTAGGCCGGTGCCGCTGTGCTTAGTCCTGGGCCTCCCAGTGTGGGGGGGTGTCAGTAGATCTGCACTGTGGATGCCCGATTGATCCTGGAGAGGGTTACAGGCGCGTTTGCCTGGGGGGTTATGGGCGCACTGACCCGCTACTAAAACAAGCCCTTTTATCCCAATGGTCTAGTGGTTGGGATTCTGACAACATGCACAAATGCCGCCTCAAAGCTAACGATTGAATTTTATCAGAGAAACCAATACACGCTAACTTCCGCGTCATCGTTTCAATTGACTTGCATCACTTTTGCTAGAAGATCAATTTTGAACGAGACGTGTAAAAAATAACGACCTTAGTTCAACATCCAGATTCCAACAACCGAAGCAGTGTTTATCGTGTCGATATTGCTTACGCGACAACCAATCGGAAAAAATTTCCGCCCACTGCCGATGCGCCGGCTGTCTGCGTTCAGTTCGTCGAAATTATCCAAGCCAAATCTTCAGGTTTGGCAGCCAGCTGCTCGACCACTCGAAACCTTCTCGCGAGCAACAAGCTACTATACACGCAAACCACACGCTTCATCGGGGAAAACGCCTGCAGCCGAAAACCAATCGCTTACGACTGGTTTCCAACTTGGAAACCACACCCGCTCTTTTCCCGATGGCTGCATGCCCGACGCTCGTATCGCTCCACGTGGGAAAGGGGATTACTCCAGAGTGGGCCTGGGATAGGGAGGACGAGCATCCCGTGACCGAGGCCGGCTTGGACCATTTTGTGCGCAGCTGCACTCAGCTGCAGCACCTCTCGCTCTACTGCCTGCATCGATACGGGAAGCCACCTGCCTCTCTCTCGCTCCTTACGGACCTGCACACCCTGACTCTAACCCACAGCGCAGCTCTTCAAGCACCAGGATTCACCAACCTGTGTTCTCTTGCCACTCTCTCCGTTGACATCTCGGAGCATGATGAGGAGCTGGATCTCACCACCCTCGTGCACCTCCCGGCCTTTGCCAACCTCGCTCTGTGCGGCGAAACAAAGCTCAATCTCGAAGGCGACATCGCGAAAGTGTGAGGCTCGAAAAGTTGCGGGCCAGCAGCTTCAAAGTTGCTTTTCCGCAAAAAAGCTTCTGAAAAGCAACTTTGAAGCTGCTGGCCCGCAACTTTTCGAGCCTCACACTTTCGCAATGGAGAACGCCCACCCGGTCTCGTTCGCTCGGATGGCTCACCTTGAGTCGCTGGAATTCGACTACAACTCTCCGCGAGTCAGCTTGTTGTTTCCGTCAGGAGTAACGTTCAGTCGTCTCGAGCGGCTGCTTCTCAGCGGCTGCGACAAGCTCGAGCGCCTTTCGGACGACATCGGGGAGCGAATGCCGCACCTTCGAGATTTGACCATCAGCTCATGCCATAATCTACCGGAGCTGCCAGATCACTTCACTTCCCTCCACTGCCTCCAGAAGCTGACGATTTCCTCGCTCGACCTGGCGAGCCTACCTGCGAGCTTCAAAAAGCTGTCTGTTTTGAAGGACTTGACGCTGCACCGGCTGCCGATCTCAGGCCTGCCGGACTCCTTCCACCAGCTCACGTCGCTGGAGGTTTTGAATGTGCACGATTGCCTCGCCATGGTGGAGTTGGGGGCGAGCTTCGGCAGCCTCCACGCACTCAAGTCTCTCAGCATCGCCAACTCGCCAAAGCTGGTTCTTCCGGAAGACATCGGAGGGCTCACGGACCTTCACACTTTCTGAGTGACTTTAAATAGCGTACAAGAGCTGCTGCCATCCTCGTTCACTCAGCTGATGTCACTGACACGCCTCGAGCTGAACCTGTGCGACATGATACAGGTCATACCAGAGGGGCTGGAGAGGCTGAGTAACTTACGGGAGCTGAGCATCTGGTCACGCTCGACGATTCAGAAGCTTCCCGAGAGTATTACAGACCTTGGCAGCCTTGAGGTTCTGCGAGTTGACGGCTGCAGCAGCCTCTGTTCCATTCCTGGGAGTTTGAGCGCTCTTGGAACATCACCAAATTGTAATGTCCCGAAACTGTCTTTAAACATTCATTCCGAATACTTTCGGGACAGGTTGAAAAGTGTCTCGAAAGACAATTTCGAGACTAAGTGAAATGTCCCGGAAGGGTCACGCCCAACTGCCTCGAAAGTGTCTTGCTGAGACACTTTTGGGACACAACCAGGACTCGGCGCCAGTAGCATTGAGGACTATCCACGGACACATTCGGGAGAAATATGGGACCCTATGAAAATAGCAATGGCCATCATCCTGTCCTACTAGCAGATTTGTACTCTACTGTGATATACTCGATAAAGCATAGAATGTCTTATAATAATATTGTTCTCTACAACATTTATACACATATAACAACCACAGCATCCTCTGCCACCCTAACAAAACATTCTACTCAATCAGTCCTATAGGTCTTCTGAGCTATCCACCGTTGTAAAAAAAAAAAATTTGCAAACAACAAAATTAAAACCCCGGAATTCTCCATCAGAGATCCCCGCCACTGTCCCATCCCGCATGACCACCCAACTTGAATCACTCCATCCACGGACCCTCGTCACCCACGTGCGACGCTGGTCGCACCTGATACTCCTCCGGCAGATACTCATTGAACCCACTCTCGTTGATAAACAGCCCAGCTTCACCCCTCTTGAAAGCCCCCATCTCAGGGACGTACAGGCGCCCCTTCGCCACGGCCAGCCACATCTTGATGGCTGCTACGACCTCTGCCAGCACCTCCACCATCTCGCGCTCGTTGGTCAGGGGGCTTTGTGAGAGGGTCATTGACTTGCTCCTCATGTTGGTCATGGCATAGTCGAACTGTCACAAACAACAAACCGTGGGTTTAGATGGAATAGGGTATGAAGGAGCCGGCCAACATAAACTTTCTTACGGACACCAGCATGGCTACTGGTGCGGAGCACTCACAGAAAACAGGACCCACGCTATGTGATAGGGGACGAGGACAAGGATCCCGTCAGCAGTGACCCACTCAGGGTATGCCGCCTTGCACGCTGCAAAGAACAGGGCGCTGGTGAAGGGCCTCTTGTCGCCCTTCTCATGGCTCCACGAAGAGACCTTGTGCCCAAGGTGCTCCTCTGCCACACAGTGAAGGGGATAGATGGGATCAGAGTTTGATGTGTACGGAAATGGGTTTGAGGCAAGTTCATGCGTAGAGAATGATAATGGCATTGGACCAATACGTACGTGGGCCGAGAGTCTCCCACCACTCTGCCTTCCTGGTTGTGTCGAGCTCGTACTTGTATATCCCCTCTCCCTCGACGTCTATCCCCAGCCCGCAGACAATCGTGTAGCGTGCCAATGAGGACGAGTCGTTCCTGAACTTCGTCCACACTTTGTTGACCTTCGTACTGTACTCCGTCTTGGACATGGCGTAACAGACCTGGACGTAGCTCACGTCATGCGTGGCACGAAGGATGATACGTAGCGCCTCGTTCCTCACTGTGTTCGAAGGGAAAAGGGTCACACCTCGCGCCGCACAGTTGCGTAGCAAGAGATCCATTGCCATCTTTGCGTGCACCTGGTGACGGGATAAGGTCATGGTCAAAAGATGCTCACTGCATTAGGTAAGTCATCTGATGCTCCATGGGACATTGGCTTTCAGATTAACCAAAGATTGCTTCCATGGCATGCAGGTGCAAACGGCTCAAAAGAAAAACTCTGAATCCAGGATTAGTGCTATTCGTACTCGTAGGTTCAGACTTACTTCGGTACTCCGTCCGCATACTCACCATGATCTCATCTGCAGACGGCATGCCACGTATCAAGCCCTCCCCGCTCCTCTCCGGATCATAGTCAATGATGAGAGTCATATGCGGGACGTTCCTTTCCCGCTTCACACCACGAGCTTGGAAGCCCTCGGCAGCCCCTGCGCCATGCCCGCGGTACGCTGCTCCTCTTGTCCGGTACGTGTCCTTCCGCTGGTCATGCACTCCTACCCGTGTAGGTTGTGCCGCAGGAACAGGGCCGGGTGCACCTCCGTTGGTGTTGTTGAGGTGGTCACGCTCCTTCTTGAGTCTGTTGGTGTAAAGCCCTCTGTTCACTCGCCCGCAATGTGCAACAGCCGTAGCGTGGCCGACAGCTTGGGGTGGGGTTGCGGGCTGTGAGGTAGGCTGTGGTGATGGATCAGGATGGTCATTAGTGAAAGCATGAGGGTTCTCGTTAGTAGCGATAGGGGCAGCTCGAGGTATGTTACTCGCGGCTGCCTCCGTGTCACCCCTATTTAACCCAGTGATGGGGCCCTTTCCACATTCTTCGTGCCTGCGGACAGAACTGTCAATACTCGCCAACGCCTCTAACTCATCAGCACCTAGCAGTGGAGTGCCACGACAACCAGTGGAAGCAAGGATACCCGAAATGTCACGGCCACGTCGCTGGCGAACGCTATTGAGCAGCCTCGTCAGCTCTATGAGTTCTGGGTCGTCTCCTCCGGCATCCCCAACACCCTCCTCGGGGGACGATTCACCGTGCTCTGCCTCCATGTCGTGAGTCTGTCCCACGCCACCATCGAAGAGAGGCGTTGGCACCATTCCAGGGAGGCCAGCGCCCATGCTAGTTCCACGTTCTGAGTTGGCCATAGAACGATGAACCAACGGTGACATCGGTGTTGAAGCAGCGTTTACCAACGCAGGAGAGAACAACGGTCCACGCTTGACCGAGCAGTATTGCTGTGTGGGACTGCTCGACCACTGCCTCCGGGCATTGAGTACCGGCTCACTTCCTGCTGGAGTCAAAAGCGTCGACGGCTTCAACTTGGTTGCTGCAGCATCCTTACCGCCATGTTCTGGTGAACTCCGGTCGATGAGTGGCGGCTTGCGACTCGTCCCAGGAGGAGGCGAACAGTGAAGATGAGGTATAGTAGAACCAGCTTCCCCCTTCGCCCGACCATTCAGCGCTTGTTTCGTGCCATCGGCTCCATAACGGGCTTTGTGCTGCTGATTGTTCGCCATCCCGGCCGAGGCCACGCCCGTTGCGACAGGGATCAACTTCGGCACTTGCTCACCCCCATGTACCTTCCGTGTGTAGATGCTCTCTCCCTGCCGCCACATGTTCTCTTTGCTAGACGCCCTCCCACGGAATTGTCGTACGACTGGCTTGTGTTCTCGGGCCTTCTTTTCCCTGGGGGGCTTCTTTGAGTGCCGTCCGCGCTTTACAGGTGCAACTTGCTTAACAACAGTGCCAGGGGTGCCTGGTGGGTTGGCGTTGGAAGTGAGCACACGCGGTACATCAGAGTCAGTTCCGACCTCGCTGGCAGATGCCTCCCATTCTTCATCCGCACTGTTATCGCCACTGCTTGACGTAGCTTGTGATTCGTTCGTTCCCTCCTCCAACTCCGCCTCGGTGCAGTCAGAAAACGGCACCGTATGGAGGATTGCGTTGTAGTTCACAAAAGCCTCAAGCCCACCCTCGCAGCTTCTTGGCCCGCCATGATCAGTTTCGCCGCTCGCCACGGGTATTGGGTCACTCACTGCATGGTGGATCTCTATATCAACAATGAGCCACGGAATGGTAAACCCAACTCTATTAAATGCAAAAATTGTGAATTGAGGCCCCGAAACAGTGTGCCTAGTCCAAGAAATGCTCACCACTGGCACCGTGCTTCTCCTGCTTTCCGCCGTTGTGATCCTGCACTACTTTCACCAGCTTGCGTCGGCCAGGCCGGTGCTGCGCATGCAAATCCAGCCTCTCCTCGACGGTGAAGCCGTACGGCTTAATGGGAGGGTCTGCGGGTCCAGCGATGTCCGGGGCTTGCTCCGCTACCAAATAACCCTTGGGCGTAGGGTTGGACACTCGGTGTTGTCTCAAGAACGTCCTAGTCGCCTCCACATCCGCCGCCCATTGTGCAGTCGACGGCTTAGACTTACCTCCACTTTTTATGCCTTCGAAATCATCAAGCCTCTGGGGAGGACGTCTAACACGCACCGGACGCGCGACAGCGGCACACATGGTGAGCGGCTGTTTCACTCTTCCCTAACAAAATATAGCGCCTATGCCACGCTAAGTTGGTAAGGTTCGACCTGGTGTGAGCGTAGCATTCCCATGAGGGATAAGAAAACTGTCACAGGATCGAATTCTCAATCGAAACTTGTCACTAAAACTGAATACAAGGCCTATTTATACTCGGAAAGTACAAGGATAAACGAGATAAAACGAACCTTCGGGAACACACCCTTCCCGATACTACAATCACAAGTGCGCATAAGCACACAAGTCTATTGGCACTTGGGATTACGCCCAGATTACACCGTATACACAACTGTCGACGCTGTCGGTGCCGTATAATAGGTATGTCGGTGGGAAAAGTAGGAAATATGAGAAATAAATAGAAGGCTCTAGAAAATAGAATAGTAGGCCGATTGAGATGAGATAAAGACCAAAATAAAGAGGAGAAAAGGGAGAATGGGATAACGGAAAAATATAATAGTGAGAAAATATTATAACGGGGACGTCCTCTCACACTTCCCCCCCTCAAAGCTGGGTGGTAGAAGTAACACCCTGCTTGACAAGGTAGTCCTGTAGAGGACGGCGGGCGTTATCCATGTCGTGTTCAGGTACCCAGGTATCCTCGGAAGGATCATAGCCTTTCCAACGAATCAAGAACTCCAAGGTGCCGCTACGTCGTTGTCGGTGCGCCAGAACGGCTTCGACTTCGTACTCGGGTTCCCCATTAACGATCACTGGTAGTGGCGGCGGCGGCTGGCGACCTTTGAAGACCGTGTTTGGGTCCCGATAGGGCTTGAGAAGTTGAACATGGAAGGCATTGTGAATCCTCCAGGTAGCTGGTAAACGCAAGCGGAAGGTTACTGGAGTGACCTGCGCCTCGACGAGAAAAGGTCCGCAGAAGCGAGGTCGGAGCTTACACGGAAGATGGCTAATGTCGAGATTGCGTGTATCCAGAAGCACCTGATCGCCAATCTGGATGGAATGATCGTTGCGACTCCGATCAGCGAGCTTCTTTTGTTGCTGCTGGATAGTCAAAAGACGTTTATGCGTGCGCTCCCACAATTGGTGCATAGTGGAAATGAAGTCATGTGCGGGTTGCACCGTGGCGGGTACTGTTGGTTTCTGAGGCGTGAGTGGGTTGCGACCGTAACAGAGGAAAAAAGGAGTTTGCCCTGTTGCGGCGTGCGTGGCGTTGTTGTACGCAAACTCGAGAACCGGCAGATGTGCATCCCATTTAGAGATATCGTCCTTACACGCTGCTCGCAGAAGCTGTTCGACAATCTGGTTGAGGCGCTCTGTCTGACCATCCGTTTGGGGATGATAGGCTGATGACATGGCGAGTTTGGTCCCCATGAGCGACATGAGCTCCTTCCAGAATTTACTCGTGAATTTCGGGTCTCTGTCGGAGATCAGCGTGGTTGGAATGCCATGTTGTGAGATGACGTAGCGGTGTCAGAACATATATGTAGCTTATGCTGTTGTGTAGGCTACAGTGGGGTATCTCATAGGGGGTACAACCCAATTAGGGTTTTGCGATTTGTACCCAACTCTTTCATAGTGCATTCATTCTCGTTCTATTTTCCACATGGTATCGAGCAGGTTCCCCCGTGGGAACTGTGCTTAGGGCCCACCACTTTTAAACTTTTTTTTCTGCCCGGAGCGCGCTCCGGGCCCTTGCTCTCACTCTTTCGGCCTGCCTTGAGCCGCCCGCGCGCCGCCCGTCCCGGCCCCTAGCCGCTCGCGCGCCGCCCGTTCAGGCCCCTAGCCGCCCGCGCGCCGCCCGTTCAGGCCCCTAGCCGCCCGCGCGCCGCCCGTCCCGGCCCCTAGCCGCTCGCGCGCCGCCCGTTCAGGCCCCTAGCCGCCCGCGCGCCGCCCGTCCCGCCCCCTAGCCGCTCGCGCGCCGCCCGTTCAGGCCCCTAGCCGCCCGCGCACCGCCCGTCCCGGCCCCTAGCCGCTCGCGCGCCGCCCGTTCAGGCCCCTAGCCGCCCGCGCGCCGCCCGTCCCGGCCCCTAGCCGCTCGCACGCCGCCCGTTCAGGCTCCTAGCCGCCCGCGCGCCGCTCGTCCCGGCCCCTAGCCGCTCGCGCGCCGCCCGTTCAGGCCCCTAGCCGCCCGCGCGCCGCCCGTCCCGGCCCCTAGCCACCCGCGCGCGCCCGTCCCGGCCCCTCACCGCCCGCGCGCCGCCAGACCCGGCCCCAGGCCGCCCTGTGCCGCCCGCCCCGGCCGCGCTCTCCTGTCTCGGCCCCTCGGCGCCAGGATGCCACCCGTCCTGGCCCCTCACCCGTCCTGGCCTCACACCGCCCGTGCGCCGCCCGTCCCTGCTGCACGCCGCCGTCCCGGCCCCCCACGCCGCCTGTTAGCCGCCGTGCAGCCCGAGCCGCCCGAGCCGTCTGCGCAGCTGAGGAGCCGAGCCGCCCGAGCCGCCTGTGCCGCTGAGAGCCTGAGCCGCCCGAGCCGCCTCCCCCCCCCCCCCCCCCCCTTTTCCGGTCGCCTGTCGAGGCGACCTGAGAGGCCAGCTGAGGGGTGGCAGGTGTGTGGTCTCCCCTGCTTCTCCTCCTCCTTCGTCTCGTGCCTCCAAGCAGCCGCGCCGCCCTGCAGCCGAGCCGCTCTACACCCAAGCCTCCCAGCAACCGCGCCGCCGGGTCGCCGAGCTGCCAAGCTGCAGTTGCTGCCGAGCCGCCCTGCCGCCGAGCCGCCCGAGTCGCCCGAGCCGCAGAGCCGCCGTGCTGCCGAGCCGCTGAGTCGCCGAGCCTACTCTACCCACCACTGGTGAGCCCCTGCCCTGCTAGCACGCTGCGCGTCGCCTGCTTGCCTGCCTGCCTCCCTTTTTGGCTTGCCTAGCTGCCTGCCTTACTGCTGCTACTCCTGCTCCTGCCTCTACTGGTGGAGCTAGATGCAGCCCCATCGACGTCTGCGTGAGTCCCTCACGCCCCAGCAGCTGCGTGAGTGGTACGCTGGTTGGGGCTGTAGGGGTGGTGGCGCTACTACTGCTACCACTCCTGCTGCTTCTACTACTGGTGGCGGCCAGATGCAGCTCCCGCGACCCCCCCGCGCGTCTCTCACGCCTCAGCAGCTTCGTGAGTGGTACGCTCAGAGTGGAGGGTCTCTCAGTTCTGTTCGCTGCTCTTACGTGATTCTCACTGGTGCTCGGACTGGTCAGCCTTGTGGGACACCTAGTCATACACAGTCCCGCTGCTTCGCCCGTCTGAGCGACGCCTGGCGTACCGTGTTTGGCGACGAGGCTGAGCTCCCCGACTGGGTGGAGTTGCTTAGGCAGAGGGTAGATATATTTGCTCTTGACTATGATGCTATTCTCACTGCCATGTATGCATTGCCTACTAGTGCTGACCGTGCCGGTCACCTGTGCGTCCCGCCTGACCCGGGTATAGGACCTGCTGCTCTAGCTACTGGTGAGGCTGCTGCTGCTCTGGGTGCTAGTGAGTCTCCTGCTCCAGGTACAGGTGCGGCTGCTGCTCTAGGTGCTAGTGAGTCTGCTTCCTCAGGTGCGGGTGAGGCTGCGCTCTCAGGTACCGCGTTGGCTTCGGCCTCCCTCACCTTTACACTTGACTCTGGGGCTTCTCGCTCCTTCTTTCGGGACCGCACCACACTCACGCCGCTTGGTCGGCCGGTTGCAGT